GAGCTTTACTTGAGCTGGCTTGAGGCTTGAGCAGCCTTTGAGCCACTTCAGCCAGTTGAAAAGGCAGCGGATGGGGGGGGCGGGGGGGAAATGCCACGCATGAAAGTTTGCTCGAGGCTGAAGAACAACAGCCACTTTTGGTGTTTCGCCTCTCGGGGAGCTCGCTGGGTCCCAGGACCGTAAAAGATCGACTCGGGATGAAGAATAGGTCCTGGGGAATGGCTCGGGACCTCCAGGGACTCCGTATTGAGCAAGTCAAGGCATCGCATGTCTGGAATCAAGTCACGTACGTTTGCTCAGCGTGTGACGAAGTCGGTTCTGGCCCACCAGGATTCGGTGCGACGCTAATCATGTCCCAGATCCCCAAGCGTCAACGTCCCGAGATTTTTCAAGCCGTCTACCCCGGGGAGCCGAGCGGCACGCTATCCGCCTGCTCGGCTCAGCGTGTCGCCAGGGCCGTCAACGCGACACGCTGAGCAGAAGATCCCGACCGTAGATTGGATGGGGTCGGAGGATGGCGCCTCATCGCCGATGCATCGTAGACGCTGCTCGATGTGGAGCCCGATTTTTTCGACGCCGACGTCGCCAATGCATCAACGTGAGCGTCAACGTCCTGAGCCTCTCCCAGCCTCCCGCCCCGTGGAGCGGAGCGGCATGCTACCCACTCGCACGGCATGCCACGGGCAGCCAGGGGCCCGCTGGGTGGCCCGCTCGGGGGCCAAGCGGGCTCGCGGCGCGGCGACTGCAGAAGGCCAGGGGAGGGCATAATCTGGCGGCCCCAGGGCCACGCTAGATTGGAGGTCGCTGGGGGGGGGCAGAGTTGTTTCCAGGGCCAGATCCCAGTACGCTCGGTCGGTGCGCTTGAGCTGTCAATCGCAATTCTTACGACTCCCATTCGCAAGAAGCTCGGATCTCAGGTTTGCTCTTGCCAACGATTGGGTTGCTTAGCTTCGCTCGTACCCTACGAGCATTACCCCCTTCTCGTCGCCCAGCAACATACATCGCGTTCGCTGCCCCTCGGCGAGCGTCAAACGATACATCGCTCCAGAACGTTTTCAGAGCGTGCGAGAGCGCTCTGGAACGGCTCGATACGCATCCTCCAGAGCAGCCGCATCTCAGAGGCCCCCGACTTCTCCTGATCCGATGCTGTCCTGGTCCTGGCTTCGCTCTGCCAAAAGCACAACCTTTCGGAGGAGGCCTGCCTTCGCCCTTCCTCGCCGCGCCACCCCTTCAGCGGTGCGCGCCAGGGAGCGGCGAGAGAGACGTCACCAGAGGTGGGGTCCAGCGCCGACGCAGTAAATCTGCGCGGAGCTTCGAATGTTTGCGGTCATGCTGCCTTCTCAGACCTGCGATGCCCAGATTCTTGTTCACTACTTGGCCCCCCGAGCTTCGGACCACTTCCTGGGGACCAGTTTTTCTTGACAGATCGCTCATTGGACGTTATCCCAGTGCGACCCTACCTAGGAGTTGGACCCCCTAGGAAAGCAGCATTAGTAGTATCAGTAACGCTACGCTAAAGCTAAGCTAAAATTAAGCTAAAGCTAAGCCACAGCTAAGCTAAAGCTAAGCTAAAGCTAAGCTAAAGCTAAGCTAACGCTAAGCCAAAGCTAAGCTAAAGCTAAGCTAAAGCTAAGCAACAGCTAAGCTAAAGCTACGATATAAGCTACAGCTAAGCTAAAGCTAAGCTAAAGCTAAGCTAAAGCTAAGCTAAATCTAAGCTAAAGCTATTCTAAAGCTAAGCTAACTCTAAGCTAAAGCTAAGCTAAATATAAGCTCAAGCTAAACTAAATCTAAGCTAAAGCTAAGCTAAAGCTAAGTTAAACGCTAAGCGAAAAGCTAAGCGAAACGCTAAGCTAAAGCTAAGCTACAGCTAAGCTAAAGCTAAGCTAAAGCTAAGCTAAAGCTAAAGCTAAAGCTACAGCTAAAGCTCCCAGGGGACTGGGGGGAACCGCTCCCAGGGGACTGGGGGAACCGCCCGGGGCGTGTTCCACTGCCCTTTAGCTTTAGTTTAGCTTTAGCTTAGCTTTAGCTTAGCTTTAGCTTAGCTTTAGCTTAGCGTTAGCTTAGCTTTAGTTTAGCTTTAGCTTAACTTTAGCTTAGCTGTGGCTTAGCTTTAGCTTAGCTTTAGCTTAGCTTCAGCTTAGCGTTACTGTTACTACTAATGCTGCTTTCCTAGGGGTTCCAACTCCTAGGTAGGGTCGCACTGGGATAATTTTTCTTGACAGATCGCTCATTGGACGTTCCCAGAGCTTGTAAACGGCTTTCGGGTGACGAACCTGACGAACCCTTTCTTTTGTCGCAGTACCGCGAGTCCTCACCGCGTTCGGGGGCAGCAGAGGGATGCACGGGGCCGAATTGGGCACAGCAGGCGGCGGAAAGAGGAGGAGCGCGCGGAAGGGGAGGGGAGCATGCTCAGAACGTGGGAACCGCATGTGGACACCCCCACTGGGGCCTACGGTGGAGCTCCCTATGGGGCCACGAAACGCTGCCCTGGGTGGGGGAACCGCATGCGGACACCCCCACTGGGGCACTGGGGCCTACGGTGGAGCTCCCTATGAGGCCACGAAGCGCTGCCCTGGGTGGGGGAACCGCATGCGGACACCCCCACTGGGGCCTACGGTGGAGCTCCCTATGGGGCCACGAAACGCTGCCCTGGGTGGGGGAACCGCATGCGGACACCCCCACTGGGGCCTACGGTGGAGCTCCCTATGGGGCCACGAAGCGCTGCCCTGGGTGGGGGAACCGCATGCGGACACCCCCACTGGGGCCTACGGTGGAGCTCCCTATGGGTCTACGAAACGCTGCCCTGGGTGGGGGAACCGCATGCGGACACCCCAACGAGGGGGAGGGAAGGAAGGAGGAACGCGGGGCACTGTCTCTTCAAAACGAGGACCCCACACCACAGGATGGTTGGGAAAAACCGACTCAAGGATGGAACGCTGGTCCCTCACGGGGTCCACGTTGCGAAAAAGCACGACGTCGGGGGTCTGGGAAGGCGGTGGGGCAAGGGGGCCGGCCTTCTGAGAGGGCAGGGCGCGCTTTCCAGGAGGGGTCGGAGGCGTCTGAGAATTTGTCGCCAGGAGGCGGGGAGGGGGCTTCAACTATGAACCACAACAAAAAGCCTGCCGCCTTCGGAGGCCACACCCCTCGATCCGATCCCTTTGTGTGCGCCGCCAAGGCCCCTCTCGCCCAGTCTCTGGCCACGGGGCTATCGGGGAGATCGATGCGGCCCCGAGGGGTCGCGCAAGAAGGCGGTGTCGATGGCTCCAGTCGCGATCTCTCCGCGGCCTCGGATGTCGGCGGGCCTGGGTGTCCCAAAGGGGTGGGGGGTCCATGCGGGCCCATTGGAGAGGGACAGCGTCGCCGAAGGCGGCGACAGAGCGCGTTTCTCCTCCTGCAGGTGGTGCCGCTGCTCCTGGTCCTCCTCCTCCCCCTCCTCCTTGCCCCCTCCTGCCGTATACCCCTCGTGCCCCGCGTGCAATGGCCACGCCTGTTGCTTTCGGTCCGCCTTCGTGCCTGCCAGTCCCCCGCGCCGGTGCTGTGCTCTGGCCTTCGCCGACGTCGTCCGTGAGGGGCGGCCAAGAGGGTGGTGCTGACCGGGGGGGATATTATGACTGGGGCCATGATGCCTCGGCGGATTTCATTGCCACTTCTTCTGGCTTCTGACGTCCCCTGGTCCCTCCCCCCGCATCTGCTCACATGCCTCGAACCGTGATCTGCGATCCCCCCTCTTCGACGCGACCGCTCTTGAACGCTCGCGAGGGCGGGTGGCCATGCCTACGTTGCGTCCTATTTCCGTATGCTTCCGCCTGCATATGTCTGCATCGACGCTGGGCCCATACACCAGGCTCACAAATTCTCTTCTTCAGCGCCGCGATCGAATGACTTCGTCGGATCGCAGCTCCGTCGCCCGCGTCCCGTTCACGAGAGGCCCGCGCTATGTCCCTGGCCAGTTGCGGTGAAGTGCTTCGCGAGGCCGCCACGAAGCCGGTACACAGCGACGGGGAGGCCACGCAACCTAGGATGCAAGTCCTGAAAAGTTTCATTTTCAGCGTCGGCACTGGTATGTTCGCGGTGGAAAACTGGCCTAATCCCGCTTCATCATGTTTACTCTGGTTTCCTCGGGCTTCATCGCGAGCTTAATCTGGCCGAGTCCGGCCCTAAGGCCCGCCGATGGGACGCAATAGCCCCTAGTCGTTCTTATGGAGACCTGCCAGGAGCTGCCTCTTGACACCTAACAGGACATGCTGGGGATGGTTCCTCTCCAGACCCCCGAAGATAGGATTTTCTCACAACGTGGGCCCCCAGAGGTCCCGACCCGCTTCCCGGGACCGGCATTTCGTCCTCTGATGTTTTATGACCCGACCGCCTTGGCGCCCAGCGAGGGCCCCCCCCGGAGCCCGAACCTTGTCAAAACTTGTCCGGCGTGAGTTTTTGACGATCCAAGGGGTCTGGGCAATTCGTGGGCGAAGCACATATCCGTATCCACGGGCACGTGGGCCAGGCCCCTGGGCCGAGACCCCCCGCGGACACGGCGCGTTTTCTCGCGAATGCCTCGCGCAGAGCGTATCCGTGCGAGCGCGCATCCGCGGGACACTGCGCCCCGGAGTCCAGACCGCGAGGGCGTGATAGGGATACGCTCGCCGCTTGTGGGCAAGATGCTGGGGATGGTTTTTCCATCCCACGGCACGGTAAGGACCGCCAGATGCCGAAAACCGCCAAATCATCCGTCCGCCGTGCTTTCTCACGACTCGTCGTGATCATGAGCCTGACCTCCGGCGCCCCGTCAAGATCTACATGGCCTGATGGCCTTCTGGCCATGCCGCGACCGCTTCACCCCCCCCCTCCCTTGCCCATTTGCCCATCGTGCACTTAGCGCGCGGCCGGACTCGCCCCGCCGTTGGCCCGGCCACCGCCTCCATGCAGCCGCCTTGGCCACACGTAGCAGGTCGCCGCCCGGCGCGCCCCGGCGCCCCGCCGGGCGCCCCGCCGCGGGCGCGATGCTGCGCTGCGGCGCCTGGCGCGCCGTGGGCCGCGGCTGCCCGCCGGCGGCCGCCGCGGCTGCGCGGCCGCGGGGGCGCCCCGGACTGCTGCGCGCCGCCGCTGCCCGTGCGACGCCGGCGCCCCCGTGCGGCGCGGCGGCGCGCTGGCGACCCTGGGCGGGGCAGGCGCCTTCCGCCGTCGGCACCAAACAAATCACGTCGGCGGCCACGATTGCGTTCGAAAGTTTGTCTGGTTCCAGGTGTTCGAGATTCGAGGTTTTCGAGGTTCTCGAATCACCTCGTCGGCTCTGGGCGGTTTTCCAGCCTCGGACTGCTCTGCAGCGGCTGCGACTCGCCGAGAGCGTTCTGGGAGTACTGGATCGTCCGGATCGGCTGTTGGAGGCCCGAATTGGCCCGAACGCCAGACACCCCTCGCGTCGTGAAAAACATGTTCTTGGACTGCGGCGAGTTTGGTCCTACGAGCGGTCGGGCTGACGGAGGGACGCGTCCACAGCTTATCGAGGCGGAAAGAATGGGAGGGGCAAGGAGCGAGGAAGAGCCTACCGCGGAACGGCCCGAGATCTTTCAAATCATGTAGATCTTCAAGCGGCGCCAGAGGTCACGCTCATGATCTCGACGAGTCGTGGAAAAAAAACGGCGGACGGATGCTTTTGCTGTTTTCGGCCTCTTGGGTCCTTCGCCGGGCCCTGGGACGGTCAAACAAATACTGAAGACGAAAAGCCAGTCCCGGGGAAGGGCTCGAGATCTCTGGGGTCCCCGTTGCGACAAAAAGCTTGACGTCGGGGGGTTGGGCTCGGAGGCCTGGTGGTTGGCGCCAACACCAGCACCGGCGGTTGCCCTCACCGAAGGGGGGGTGGCCCCGACCTCGGTGATGGTGCTTTTATTCGGGCTTCCGAGGGGGCCGAACGATTATCACCAGCACCGAAATCTAGGAGCGGAGGCAACCCCTCGAGTTGGCCCTGGTGCTTATTTCCGACGAGCCTTCAAGATAACGCTGCTCGTCCTGGAGAGCCATCGCTGCCGCCGCTGGATGTTCTTCGAGCTTTTGGTCAGAGCGCACCTTTGGAGAAGTCCAGGGGCCAAAACATCCACCGATATGATGTGTTCAGCCCGCGGCACCAGAAGCCTTGACCGCTTTCCCAGGGATACCTTTTTGGCCGAGGTCTGCATATTTGATGCCCTCTGGGGCCCACTAAAGGGTCCCGATATCGATTAAAAAAAGCCGCGATTGGAACAACGTGTGAGCGAAGCAAACAGCAGGGCGTCTGCGCTGGCATTGGCCGTAAGCTGCCCACGTAAGGTCACGCGCAAGCGTCCTCGTTTCGATGTAGCGTGCCGCGCTGGCGACCCGCGCAAGCCACTTCGCGCAAGACCGCTCTTCTGTTCGTCGCTCATGTCGTCGGATGTCCGGGTGGGGCGGCGATGCGGGCATCTCCTCGTGCCCCCCCCAGGTGCGCGTCGTGAGCCAGGTCCCGGACCACGTCCCCACGGGCGGGACGCCGCCGGGGCCTCCGCCCGTGCACCCGTTCATCTTGGAAGTGGGGCGGGGCTTCGGCCAGGTGGTCAGGGAGCAACTTTCCCAGACCCCATCGGGTGGCTAACGAAATCATGACGAGAGGTTTTTGAATATTTCCGACCCCTGGGGCCCTCGCCGGGCCCCGGGACCGTAACAAAAATATCTTGGATGAAAAGCTGATCCCGGGATGAAATTGTCGGCGGCGAGCCCAGGGGGGAAGTGAAAAGGGGCGGGCCTTCTCGGAAGGCTCGGAAGTCCCCGAGCCTTCTGAGAAGCTTTCTAAGCCTTGAAGACAGACAGCAACTTCTCGGGAAGCAGGAGGCCCTCTGAGAAGCCCCGCCGCCTCCTGAGAGCTTCTCCTTCTCACTTCCCCCTCTCGCTCGCCGCCAAAATGGGTCGAGACAACTGGGGGTCGACGCTGTGATTTTGTCACGACGGCGGGGGTCCGCGTACAGGGAGGGACGGGCTCCGAGGTTCGAGGGTCGGGCTCTGCTCCCCAGAGGTTCGTGATCTTCCTTCGGCGCCCGTCGTGGCCACTATGGCTCCGCCTCGAAGTTGGGGGCGCGCGCTCTCAGTCATCTTCGAGTCTTCCAGGGGAAGCAAGCACACGGTGTCTCGCAGCAGATCGGGGCGCGCCTTCAGGAGAGGTCCAGAGTCTGATGTCTGAAACCTGGTCAGGGGCAGCGGGATGTATCCCGTTGCCCCTGTGGGCCCGCAGGCCCCGGGGGGATGATGCATCGCCCCAAAGTAGCCGATAGGTTTCCGGCCCGATGGCCCATCCCCCGCCGATGATCATGCAGATTCGCTCTCGGGCGCCTATCGCCTACCCATCGGCGATGTTTCACCGACTCTAGTTCGATGTTTCCCCGCCTGAGCCGGCCCTCCCCCCTAGATCACGGACCCCCGACGTTGTGGATTGTTCACAACGTGGACCCTCGGAGGTTTCACCACGTAGACCGCGGGAGGTTTCGACTCATTCCCCGGGGCGCGGCGATGGCACGGCGAGGGCACCCAGAGACCGAAAACAGTCAGAACACGCCCGTTTTGCTGACGACGCGACAGGGGTCTTCGAAGAACAGATAACGGCATAAGCCTAAGTTTTCAATGCACCGCGCGCATCTCTTGGATCGGCGATGGACCCCCCGTGGCGGCGCCTCCAGCGCCGCCCCTAGCGTGCTCCATGCGCCTGGTAGAGGGGTCCAGCGCCGACCGAGAAATCGGCGCGGATTCCGAAAGTTTATGTTCATGCAGTTTTTTGTTCCTTCAGGTATAGTATCGGTGCCCCTGAAGGTGGCATTCTGCCCGGGCCTCCCGTCTGCCGCCCTCATCTTCGCGGGCTTGTGCGTGGGAGACCCGAAGGTGGCGGTGCTCGCCGCCCTGGGGTGCACCTCCGCCACAGCCGCTGCCCGGCTCGTTAGCGCCGACGCCGCCGCCACCACCGCCGGCCTGTACGGCTACAACGGAGTGCTCCTGCTGCACGAGAGTTAGATAGTAAATCGCAGAAGTTTCCGCTCGTCTTGGATCGTATGTTTACCCGCGAATGCCTTCAATCCTCCGAGCAGCGCCGAGTAGCGCTCCAATGGCATCCAATAGCGTCCAATTGCACCCAAGGGAGATACATAATCTCCGCTTATTAGGCACGATGGGGACGACCAAAAGCTTCTGTGAATGGATGTCTAACATAAGAGTGGCCCTTTGATAGAGTGGCCTGTGGTCCCAGATTTTTCGCGTCATGGAAAAAACGACGACCGGGGATTTTGTTTGCCATTTTAAATGGGCTTCCTCGCCGGACTCTGGAGCCGTCGAAAAACGACCCGAAAATCTGGGCCCAGGGAATGGGTCGAGATCTCTGGGGGTCGACGCTGTGAAAAATGCATGGCGTCGAGGGCTGGGGTGTGGGCCCACTAGGGGCTGCCCCGATCGCCGATTGAGGCGCGACGGCAGCAGCCTGCGCGCTCGGTCTTGGCCGCCCCCCGCGCCCGCCCTGGAGCCGCGCACCAGAGGTCACTTCTGCGTGCGGGATGGCTCTTGCGTCGCCAGCCGAGGTGCTGGTGGGCTGCGCCTTCTCCGTCCTGCTGACTCACAATCTGGGCCTGCTGCCAGCTGTAGGTCAGAGGGGGGGGGGGGGGGGGGCGATACCGGTGCTCTTCTCCCCTCGTTTGCGTCTATGTGGGCCTCCTGGGAGGACCTCGTCGCCATGGCTGGATCGGGGATTTCTAAGTGGATGCGAAGATGGGTCATATCTGGGAGCGTTGCCTGTAAGTGAGTTGCAACTTGCACTAACTGGTTTAATGGGGTCGGGTACCTATGCTCAGTGGGCTTCGCCCACTTAGCCCAGATCAGTGTCCCGTAAGCCGCTTAGGGCACTTGCCACCCAGGTAATGAGCTAGCTTAGGCCAGAGAGAACCCACGCTAGCATCCATTTATAACTCCCCTAATCCCCTTAGCCACCCCAGCTGTGATCCAAATAGGCGCCACCGCCTTTGGCGGTCTGGCGGCAGGGCTAATGTCCACGCGGCTGGGCGCGCTCGTGGCGCCCGTGCCGCAGCTGACGCTGGCCTTCAACGCCATCGCGCTGTCGACCCTAGCGGTCGTGCGGCCGCTGGCTGCTTGCGGCGGGCAGGAAGCAGTCGCCTCCAAGCACCTGCTGGTGGCGTTCGACCCCCTCACGTGGGCCGAGATCGCGCTCAACGGGGTTGCGCAGATCTTCGTCCTGAACAGCTTGAAGGAAAGAATAACTGCATGAACATACATGAACTTTGGGTCCGCGCGGATTTCACGGATCGGCGCTGGACCCACTTCATTGGCTTGCGGAGCGCGCAAGGGGCGGCGTCGGAAGAAGCACCGCCAGGGGGGCCCGGCGTAAATCTAAGAAGTCCGCGAGGAGTTTCGAAAGTGTATGTTTATGTAGTTCTTTCTTCCTCCAGCAGCGCAGGGGCCGGGGCGCTCGTGCTCGCGGGTATCGCACTCCACAGCCCTCTGGCCGCCGTGGCGACGCTGGTCGGCTCCGTACTCGGCAGCGTCACGGCCGTCATGTGGGGCGCGGACGCCGACGAGGTGGAGGACGGCCTCTGGGGCTACAACTCCGCGCTGACGGCGCTCGCCACCTCCGTCTTCCTGGTGCCGCTGGGCGGAGCTCGAGAGGGCGTCAACAATGTACCCAGAGCGGTCCTGGCCAGGCCCACCCTGGGCCCAGGATCGGTGCAGATGCGTCCATGACCAAGTAAGGACGGCGTATACACCGATCCTAGGCCCAGTTTGGGCCTTGCCACGATCGGTGTAGGTGGAGAAGGGAAGCACGATGGCCATGACAGAGATGCATGCCGCGGGATCTTGCCGACGCCGATCTTGGCCATGGCCTCTGGCAGCCATCGCCGATCCGCGGGCATGATCCGCGAATCGACGATGACCAAGATGGACGATGACCAAGATCGAGAGCGGCGCTTCCACGTTCAGTGTTCGTCTCGCTGGCAGGAAGCACATACATATTCACAGCCTCGCGGGCCAGATCCGCAGACCGCCTGCGCCGCGAATTTGATTTGTCCAGTCGCGCCCGACGAAATCGGTCGTTATGAATTTGGCTTCATACTCTGGCAACGGTCGCGACCGATTTGCTTCAAAGTTGGTCGCGACCAGCTCGGAGTGCCGACCGGTCGGCACTGATCAGGACCGGACAAATCGGGTATCCAACGATCTGGCGAGGAGGGGAGGGCTCTTGGCCCAGGAACCTGGCGACGAGCCAGCCGACCCGACTTCTCCTCAGGCGCAGGAGGGGGAGAGGCAGCGAGGAGATGCCCCCCCTCCCTCGCGGGGAGGGGGCAAGCCCTGGGGAGTGCGCGGGTGTGGAGGAGGGCGTGGGTGTGGTGATGCGCTCGCCGCCCGTGAGGTGCCGCTGGGCCCCGCGTACGCGGCCGTGGCCTGCCTGGGCGCGGTGGCGGCCTCGGGCGCCACCCTGGCCCTGAAGCTGGCCCTGGGCTCCGCGCTGAAGGTTTGGCGGCGAGCAACGGGGAAGTGCGGGGGGGCAGGCCTTCTCGGAAGGCGGCGGGACTTCGCAAAAGCCATCGCGCCTTCTGAGGAGCCTGTTGAGCCCTCTCCGAAGCCGCAGACGGCTACTTGGAGGGCGCGAGGGCTTCTGAGATGGCTTGCGCCCTCTCACTCTGTGCCTGGGCTCGAGCTAAATGTTGTCTGGGCGATTTCGTGGGCTGTCTTCGTTCGATTATCGTTCCATGGCACAGGTAGTTCGAAGGCGACGGAGCGAGGGATAACCGAAACGAAACGAGAAGGGAAGACGCCGATTCGGTCAAGCCCTGGAAGGTGCCCTGCCTCACGCTGCCCTTCTGCGCCGTGGCCTCGTGCTGCGTCATGCTGGGCGGGCGCGTGCCGGGCGTGGTGCTCGCAGGAATATGGAACCGATGCCGTTTCCCTTCCTCCCTCTTTGCCGCCTTCTTGGACCTCCTGGGAGGCCCTCGTCGCCACGGCTGGCTTCGCTTCGAAGTTCTGATCAGAGCGCTTCCAGAGAGACGTCCGGGAGTGCGATCGGAGCGAAGCGTAAGAACATACTCCGTTGGGGCACAGTGCCGAGTGTTCTTCGCTTTGTTTGCATGTTATTCTGCAAGCTGGGGAAGGGTGCCCTCGAATGCTCTTCAGTTTGACAATTTTGTTTGCTCGTTCTTGGAAGGCTGGGGTTCCAGGCTATGCCTTTCCGTGTTCAGCGTGTCTTCACGATAGTAGGCCAGGTATTTCAGGCCGGGTGACTCCTCGGAAGGGCCTTCGGTGACGGCGGAGGGTTCGGTAGCACATCATCGGAGCCTCGCGTATCCTCGTAACTCCGTTTGGAGAGCGCACTAGCGTCGATTAGCGTCTGAGATAGCGCCGAATCAGCGTCGATTAGAGTCGACCTAGCGTCGACTTAGCGTTGATGCAGTGTCATCGACTCGCAAGAGCCAACAGGATGGTATGGGAAGCTTCCACGAGTTGTCGCAGAAATGATCCTGTGATAGTGTGTTCTTTTATCCCTGTTCCGACTTCAGCGGTTTTTCGGCATCTCTTGGTTTCCCCCAGGTGCGGGCAGGTGCGCCGCACTCCCCCGAGGTGAACCTGCGCAGATTTCACTCCGGCGGCACGTGACGGCCACGGGCGGCTCACCCGCCCTGGCGACTGCGCCCCAGACCCCCTGGCTCCGTGAACAAAAATTGCGGCGTGAGGTGGTTTACTTTTTGAGGTAGCTTTCTTCTGAATCTCGCAACTTTACTTGCATAGAGGGGGGATGGGGGGCGTGGCGAGGCCCGAAAGGAAATCTGGAACCCGCGCAGGCCGGGAGTGACTTTCACGCCTTTGCGGCCCAGCGTTGTTTGAGGAGGCGGCGGACGGGGGGTGAGATGCCATGCAAGTATACTTTGTTTGAGTTAAAGAGAAGCTGCCTGTTTCGGCCACTGGCTGCGCTCGTCGCGCGCAGGAGCCATCAAAAGCGATCTCGGACATTGTCGTCGGTGCTCGGCGTGATTCCAGCCTCAGGATGCTCTCCAGCAGCTGCGCCTCGCCGAGATCGTCCGGGGGGGGCCCGGATCGTCCCGATCGGACGCCGGAGCCCGGGAATCTGCTCCGAAAACCGGACCCCCTCGAGTCGTGAAAATATAATGTTCTGATCCACCACTTTCGGCTACTGGCGGCCCTCGACAGGCCTGGGGGCCGTCCACGATTCCAGGGAATGGGTCGAGACCTCTTGCGGTCTGCTTTGTTGAGAAATCCAACGTGGGAGTTCTGGGCCCGTCCTCGTCGCTGCCTCGGCGCATCTCTCTCTCTCTCTCTCTTTCTCTCTCGCTCCATCCTCTTGCTCCTCCTCTTTCCTCCTCCCTACTCCTCCTTCCCTCCATCTTCTCTCTTTCGTCCTTTCCGCCTCCCTCCTCCGCCGACGCCACCTTCGACGATGGCCACCATGATCGACAACAACCACGGTAGCGACGACGACCACGAGAACAACAGCCAGCACGACGACGACATTTGCGACCACGAGCACCACGCCACGTCGACGGCGGCGGCGACGACGATGCTGACGGCACCGACGCCGTCGTCGCCGCCGTCCCCACACCCCCGACTTCATTTTTTGTTGTTCACAAATTCTTTGCCACTTCTTTCGGCCGCGTCCTCCTCTTACTCCCTCCTGCTTGGCTGGACAGTTCGCTTCAACGGCACCCCCGTTTAGGCATTTCCGCTAGCGCAGACCACCCCTGCCTCTCCGCCGACGCGACACGTTTTTATTCACAACGTGGACCTCCCCTCCCGGAGGTCTCGACTCATTCCCTGGGACCTGCTTTTCATCCAGAGCCGTGTTTTGACGGCCCGGGGGCCCAGCGGAGGGCCAACAATGGAGACCGAGCGTTGCAAAAACGCTTCCCGCACCGATTTCGACACCACGCGAGGGGGTCTGCTTTTCGGGTCATTCGGGTCTCCGGCGGCCGATCGGGACGGTCCGGGCACCCCCAGGACGCCCTCGGCGAGGCGCAGCGGCTAGAGAGCATCCCGAGGCTGGAGACCCGACGAGAACGGGCGAAAGCGTCCGATCAGCTCGTCACCGTCATCGTCATCGTCGTCGCCGCACGACGCACTGCCAAACCAAAAGCGATACACTGAATACAACAGGAGAAACAGTTCCATTTTGTAGCAGTGCTTCGCTGACCCTTCGCGCAGCCAACCATTGCACAGGGCCCACGGAGACAGAAGACCGCAAAAACGCAGACCGTTGCGATTTTGACACCACGCGAGGGGATCTGGGAAGGCGAGGCGCAGCTGCTGGAGACCAGCATCCCGAGGCTGGAGCACCGCTGAGCACCGACGAGCACGTCCGATCAGCTCGTCGTCATCGCCGTCGTCGTCGTCGTCGCGGTCGTCGTCGCCGCCGTCCTTGTCGTCGCCGCCGTCCTTGTCGCAGCCGTCGTCGTCGTCGTCGTCGTCATCGTCGTCGTCGCCGTCGTCGCCGCCGTCGTCGTCGTCGCCGCCGTCGTCGTAGTGGCCGTCGTCGTCGTCGTCGTAGTCGTCGTCGTTGCCGTCGTCGGCGTCGCCGCCGCTGTCGGTGTTGCGGTCGTCGCCGTCGTCGTCGCTGGCGCCGGCGCCGCCGCAGGCGGCCGTGCAGGCCGAGGACTGCGGCGGCCGCGGCGGCCGGCACCAGGAGCGCGGCAGGCGCGCGGGCCGGCACCAGGAGCGCGCATTGGAGCAATCATGACGTCGGTCCCGACGTGCTGGCGTCGGCTGCGGTGGCGACGGCGGCGAAGGCGACGACGGCGGCGTCGTCGGTATCGTGGCGGGCTGCCAGCGTCCTTGTCGTGGCCGTCGGCGTCGATGACGACTTCGACGACGGCGGGCGCTGGCCAGCACCATGAACGCCACGCGTTGTAGCGCGTGTTTTCGCGCGTTGCAGCCCGCAGACGTACGTCGTCGGCGATGTCGACGGCGACGGCGACGGAAGGTGAGGTTCCATACTTTTGAACAGTCTTTCGCTCTTTTTCTGGGGGCCTGCCAGCCGCTCGTAAGAGTATCCCTCGCCGGAGTGACCTCTGGTGCGGGCCCACCAGGGCTCCCCGACGTCCGAACGCGATGTGATATCAGCGGCTTGCGCGCTTAGGTTTGGCCCCCCGCGCCCACTCGAAGCCGCGCACCAAGCAAGGGTCACTCTTGCCCAGGGTCAACTCTGGCGTGTCGCCGAGCCGCGGGGAAGCTCCCCGTGGCCATGCTTGGGCGTCGCGTAAAAGGGGGGGCGATACATTGGGGGGGCAGCGAGGGCTGCAGAAAAGTGGCCCTATAGGGACCGAAAAAATCATGTCCCTTCTCTCCATTCATCGCCCCCCCCCCCCCCTTAAGCGACGCCCGACATGCGCCTCGAGAGTCTGGCCAGACTGGACCCCCGAGCTCAGACCTCTTACGCCTTGGAGAATCGGGGGACAAACAATGACACAATCATTAAATTTCGAAGGTCCGCACAGATTTTTCCGATCGGCGCTGGACCCCCCTTCCGAGTTGTTCCTCAAGCTTGCTGAACGGGGTGCTGTTGTGAGAGAAGCTAACTCTTGCCGAGGGAAAGGGGAGCAGGTACATCCTGAAAAAGTCTGGTGGTTCTGACCGTTTCGCTGGGGACATCCTCAAAGCTCTCGTTTCTGAGTTGTCCAGGATTGGCCGTTTCGCTTGAGACATCCTCTAGCATCTGGGCTCCAGCACGCCGCGCGCGAGGTGGTCCGGCCCGTTTCGCCTGAAACATCTTCGAATCTCTTAGCCCCGAGTTGCCGTGCGAAAGGTGGTCTGGCGCGTTTCGCCTGAGACATCCTCCCAGTTCTGAGCTCGGAGGCGCCGCGCGCGAGGTGGTGCGTCGTGTTTCGCTTGAGTTGTCCTCCCAAGCTCCGAGACGTCGCGCGCGCGACGGTCTGGCGCGTTTCGCTTGAAACATCTTAGCAACTCTGAGCTCCGAGATGCCGCGCGAGAGGTGGTCAGGCACAGCCTCGCAACTCTGAGCTCCGAGCTGCCGCGCGAGAGTTGGCCTGGAGCCGTGCGCTCGAGACATCCTCGCACCCCTCAGCTCCGACATGCTGCGCGAGAGGTGGTCCAGCCTGCTTCGCCAAAGACATGTTTGCAATAATGAGCTCTGAGGAAATGTGCGCAAGGATATGTAGCCCGCTTTGCTTACACCCTCGCAATCCTGGCTCCGAGATGCTGCGGGCGAGGTGGTCAGGCCCGCTTCGCCTGAGACATCCCCGAAACTATGGGCTCTGAGAGGGAGGGAAGAGGAAGCAGTAGGGGTCGGACCCAAACAGACCGTTAGATTCCACACATGTTGTCGCATTGTGCTCTGGGCAGGATCTGTCGCTGCCTAAGACATCCTCGGGACTATGAGCTCCCAGACGTCGCACGCGAGGTGATCCAGCCCGTTTCGCTTGAGACATGCTCGCAGTTCGGAGCTCCGAAGTGTTGCGTGCGATGTGGTCCAGCACGTTTCGCCTGAGACATCCTCGCATTTCCGGGCTCTTTGAAGATGTGCGCAAGGTGGTCCGGCTCGCTTCGTCTGAAAAGTCCTCGCAATCCTGGGCCCTTACAAGATGTGCGCGATGTGGTATAGCGCGTCTCTCTTGAGACATCCTCGCAACTCTGGGCTCCGAGTTGCCGCGCCATAGGTGGCCTGGCCCGTTTCGCCTGAAGCATCCTCGAAACTCTGGGCTCCGAGAGCGAGGAGAGGGGAGCGAGGATGGGTCAGACTCAAACGAACCATTGGTTTACACTTTTGTTGTCGAACTGTGCTCCGGGAAAGGTCTGGGCACCCCTTGTGAATGGAACCCGTGTAATACCCTCATATATACTCCTTATCCTTACCTCTCCCGCACCTGGCCGTTTGGGCTCAGGTACTGAGTTGGAGCGATCGTACCTTGATCGCGTGGGAGGGAAAGATATCCATCTATCCCTCCATCTCTCTACCAACGGATCAGGGGTTCTGTACCCTTGTACTTCAACCCCATACACAGGTTATCAGCCCTTTAAAGCTCACCCTCACCGACTCGCCCGCGGTGACCTCGCATGCGAGCCTGATGGAGCCACTTCGGCGCATGCGCCGCAAGGGTTCCATCGGCCCTTCGCGTCCGAGCTCTCCCACGGCCCGACGGCTCGGTGACGAGTTGGAGAGCATTAATGCGGACTGTGTTGGTGTTCCCGATACCCCCCCCAGCTCCCAAGGACCCGAGGCGCGACTAGCTGCTGAACTTCGCCGCAGCGCCGCCCGCGGGGGGACAGGAGAAGGAGTAGGAACAGGAAGGAAGGAGTTCCACACGCCGACCTTCGATCCTCCCTCCCCTTCCCCGTCGGGAGCAATCCCAACCGCGTCAGGCGAAAGCCTTGCCGGTCTCGATACTCCAGGGCGCTTTCGTGCTAACCGCCGATGGACCTCAGGCGCTGGGACCCCCAGCCCTGCGACCGTCCCTGTGGCGGAGCACGTAGCTACCTTCGAGGAACTCAGTAGACCAGTGTCGGCACAGCCACAGACGCGGTACCCCAAGGTATCATCGGATGAGACACCACACACACATGGTCCGAGTCGCAGCTCGTCCGCGCGCAACCGCCGTGGAGCCCCAGGCCCATACGGCGAAAGCAGGTCGAGCCCGCGCACTGCCTCTCAGAGGCCATGCACTCCCCGCGACAGGGGACACAGGGAAGCTGACGCTCCCCACCTCTCCATCTCAGACGACCAGCTGGCGGAGACGTCCGCCGCAGGTGACATAGCTGAGCTCAGAGACCAGGTTGAAACCTTCGTGTCCAGCCAATACTCTGGACTACTACAGAGCGTTCAGACGAACGCCACCGATACTGCAGCCATACGCCGCGATCTTGACGGCGCCTTAGGGATCATCGATTCCAGGATCGCCGAAGATCGACGCATCATAGGAGAACTGCAGTACCAGGTTGATCGTGAGGTGTCACACTCAGGTGAACGAACGGCGATGGTCGAGAACCTGCGCAACTATCTCGCGCAGATGGAGCAACAACTTGTGATCGTACGCGACGCAGGCATTTCTGCGGTCAGGATTTTACATGATGAGATCCACGACCAGCTCCGCAACCGACCAACTCCAACCGAGGCCACAGACCTCGGCGACGTTCAGTCTCAGATCAATGATCTTCGATCTTATCTAGACCACACTACGGCGACGCTTCGTACCGAAGCACGCACAAACTCGTCGAACCTGATCGACATGTTGCAGCGTACTGAGAGAGTCATCACTCAAAGGCTTGATGCGACCAACGCTGTCGTGCAGCCACTCGCTAACCGGATCTCTGGCATAGAGCAGCGTTTCCCTGGTGTACAGGACGCCCTGGCAGAGTTGCGTGTCGGACGAGCCCAGACTGATCAGCTGGATTCTCCTCCCACGGTTTACGATTTCGCCCGCCTCACTGACGGGTTGCAGGAGGTTGAGAAGGCGGCGGACCACACGCAGTTAGAGCTCTCCCAGGTTATTCATGAAAGAGATACTGAGAAGGTACGTGTAGAGAGTTACCTCGCACGTCTGGAAAGCGAGGTGGAGGCACAAAGCGCCCGTCTCCGAGCATACGAGCATCGACTTGATCGGTATTCACAACGGTCTCGGGATACTGATGAGTATACACGCCAAAAGGTGGGTCACATACAAGAAGACATGACGAGCTGGACGAATCAGCTGATCGACCACACTAACGACACCAACATTCACCTTCGATCTGCAGCCGACCCGCACAGGCCGACGGCAGCGTCCGCCGAAGCACCACAAGCTTCAGCAGGACAACAACGACGTACGTCCCCAGGAGCAGCCTCCGCGGCAGCTTCTGCGCAGACACGTCATGTGTCTCCTGTGCGCACAGAACCAAGCACCGACGGTGCACCGATACCCTCACAGCCAGTGTCTGCGGTGTCGGTCCATACTACGACGCCTATCAAGGAGTCAGACACCGTCCGTGTACCTGTCTTGCCTAAGATCACGCAGCTGCTGGAGTGGCAGCAAAGAGTGCGGAAGAACTTCGGGGCCGCCTCAGGGCGACCATCCAAAGCATACGCCTTCCTATGCGTGGCAGAACAGCCCGAATGTACATTCGAGGATTTACAAGACAGTGGAGACTTTGAGAGCATCGATTGCAAACTCGCAACCGCTCTGAGCGACATCTTATCCTCAGACTTACGCTACCAAATCAGGCTCATCGAGACCAGAGAGCACAAAGCAGGACGCATGCTCAAAGGACGCCAGATATACTGGCATATCCTACAGTCCTACAAAGTGACAGACGTTGACGACGATCTGCACGATTTCGAGCGCCTTAAAGAACTGAGGATGAGAGATGAAGATTTGCAACGTTTCATTACCGATTGGGACGCCTTACTCTTGGAATGCCGAGAAGTACCCGATCCAAAGATATTGGAATCGCTATTTCGCACACAGATTCGTAGACATGCATGGCTGAAACAAGACATGTACGAGTACCAGCGCATGAAGATGAGCGACCCGAATCGTACCTACGGTTGGCTTCGACAGCGTGTCCTGGACATACTGGAGATCAAACAATTGGAGAATAATCAAAACAAGCTACGGTACGAACATGAGACACGATCTCAGGTCAACGCGTGCGCTGCATGGAAGAAAGGCAATTGTCGCAACGGTGAACGGTGCAAGGCTTTACATACATATTCCAGGGATTGGA